CCATCTCGCCCTCTCGCCCTCTCGCCCTCTCGCCCTCTCGCCCTCTCGCCCTCTCTGCCTCTCCTCTCTCTCTCTGAATTTTTTTTTTTTTGGACAGGCAGAGTGGACAGTGAGAGAGAGACAGAGAGAAAGGTCTTCCTTTTGCCATTGGTTCACCCTCCAATGGCCGCCGCAGCTGGTGCGCTGCAGCCGGCGCACCACGCTGATCCGAAGGCAGGAACCAGGTGCTTCTCCTGGTCTCCCATGGGGTGCAGGGCCCAAGCACTTGGGCCATCCTCCACTGCCCTCCCGGGCCACAGCAGAGAGCTGGCCTGGAAGAGGGGCAACCGGGACAGAATCCGGCGCCCCGACCGGGACTAGAACCCTATGTGTCGGCACCACTAGGTGGAGGATTAGCCTATTGAGCCGCAGCGCCGGCCTCTCTCTGACTTTCAAATAAATAAAATTTTAAAAAAAGACAAAAACTGCAAAAAAGACAAATAAGATCCCTATATAATGATTAGGAGATCAAAAAGAAGATATGACAGTAGTAAATGTATATGTACCCAACATCATTGAGCCAATTTTGTATTGCTAACATTACTAAATCTAAAGACAGATAAACTCAAATACACTAATAGTGGAGAATTTCAATACTCTACTTACATCAATGGACAGATCATCCGGATGAAAAGTCAACAAAGAACATTAGAGTTCAACTCTACTATAGACCAAATGGAACTAACAGACATTTAGTGAATATTAAACACCGGCAGAATACACATTCTTTCTATGGAATATTCTCTAGGATAGACCACAAATTAGGCCACAAAGGCTTAACAAATTTTTTAAAAGTGAAATCAGATCAGGTATTTTTTTTCTGACCACCATGGAATAAAACTAGAAATCAACAATAAAAAAACTAAAAGTTTTCAACAGTTGAAAACTGTTGAAATCTTTACTTAATGTATGCTAAACTGATCTTCTGTATATAAAGAGAATCGAAAATGAATCTTGATATGAATGGAAGGGGAGAGGGAGTGGATAAGGGGAGGGTTGCGGGTTGGAGGGACGTTATGAGGGGGAAGCCATTGTAATCAATATTCTGTACTTTGGAAATTTATATCCATTAAATAAAAGTTAAAAAAAACTAAAAGTTATGCAAAAATATGGAAATAGAACATGCTTCCAAATGACCAATAAGGTCATTCAAAAAATCAGAAGGGATATTTAAAAATTCTTTGAAATTAATGAAAATGAAAACATAATATTCCAAAACTAATGAGGTACAGCAAAAGCAGCACTAACAAGAACATTTTAGCAAGAAGTACCTAAATCAAAAAAGTAAAGCAATATCAAATAAAGAACATAACATATCTCAAGTACATAGAAAAATAAGAAAACAGCAAACCCAAAGTCAACAGAAGAAAACAAATAATAAAAATCAGAATGGAAATAAATTAAATAGAAACTAATAAAAATATATCCCAAAAAATCAATGTAGACTGTTCTTCGGAAAGATAAACAAAACTGATAAACCTTTACCTGGAATAAGACAAAAAAGGAAACCAAATGCCACAGCAATACAAAAAAATCATTAGGGACTACCATAAGAAATTATTTGCCAAAAATATGGAACATCTAGACAAAATGGATAAATTTTTGAATGCATATAACTTACCAAAGACCATGAAGATACAGAAAACTAAAACAGATCAATAATGAATAACCACATTGAATCAACAATCAAAAGTATCCCAACAAAGAAAAGCCCAGGTCCAGATGGCTTCACTTATGAAATTCTATCAAATTTTTAAGGAAGAACTAATGCCAATTCTTTAACTATTCCAAAAAACTGAAAAGAAGAGAACCTTTCCAAACTTATTCTACAAGACTAGGAATATCTTGATCACAAAATCAGACTAAGATAAAATGGAGAAAGAAAACTATAGACCAATATACCTGATGAACATAGATGCAAAAATTCTCAACAAAATACTAGCAAATCAAACCCAGCACATTAAAAAAAAAATACATCACAATCAAGTAGAATTTATCCTAGGGACACAGGGATCATTCAACATCTGCAAATCAAAACATAATACAGCACATCAACAGAATTAAGGACAAAAAGCATATGATCAACTCAATGGATGCAGAAAAAAACTGGATAAAACCCAGCATTCATTCTTGATTAAAACCTTGAACAAATTAGGTAAAACAGAATATACTTCAATATAATAAAGGCTATACATGACAAACCTAAAGCAAATCTATCATATTGAATGAGGGTAAGCTGAAAACATTTCTTCTAAGATCTGGGACCAGAGAAAGATGCCCACTCTCACTGCTCTTACTCAATATGGTACCAGAAGTTTTATCCAGGGAAATTAGGAAAGGAAAAGAACTAATAGGCATACAAATAGGTAATGAAGAAGTCAAATTATCCCTCTATGTAAATAACATAATTATATATAGAGAGAAACCTACAAACTATACCAAGAGATAATTAGAACTGAGAAATAAATTCAATAAAATTGCAATATACAAATGCACAGGGGCTGCTGCTGTGGCACAGTGGGTTCAGCCCCTGCCTACAATGCCAACATCCTGTGGGGGCTGATTCAAGTCCTGGTTGCTCCAGTTCCAATCCAACTTCCTCCTAATGTACCTGGAAAAGCAGTGAAAGATGACCCAAGTGCTTGGGCCCCTGCAACCTCATGGGAGTCCCAAATGAAGCTCCTGGCTTCTGGCTTCAACATGGCCCAGCTCTGGCCATTGTGGCCATTTGAGGAGTGAACTAGTGGATATAAGATCTCTCTCTCTCTCTCTCTCTCTCTCTCTCTCTCTCTCTCTTTCTCTCTCTCTCTATCACTCTGCCTTTCAAATAAATCTTTTTTAAAAAATCAAAACAGGCCGGCGCTGCAGCTCAATAGACTAATCCTTCGCCTTGTGGCGCCAGCACACTGGGTTCTAGTCCTGGTCGGGGCGCCGGATTCTTTCCCGGTTGCCCCTCTTCCAGGCCAGCTCTCTGCTGTGGCCCGGGAAGGCAGTGGAGGATGGCCCAAGTGCTTGGGCCCTGCACCCCATGGGAGACCAGGAGAAGCACCTGGCTCCTGCCTTCGGATCAGCGCGATGCGCCAGCCGCAGCACGCCAGCCGTGGTGGCCATTGGAGTGTGAACCAATGGCAAAAGAAGACCTTTCTCTCTGTCTCTCTCTCTCACTGTCCACTCTGCCTGTCAAAAATAAAAATAAAAAAAAAGAAAGAAAAATCAACACAAAAAATCAATAGCATTTTATATATCAATAATAAACTTACTTAGAAAGAGTAATCCCATTCATTAAAACTACCAAAAAATTTAGAATTAAGTCAAGCAAGGATGTAGATGACCTCTACAATTAAAATTATATAACACTAATGAATGAAATTGAACAACACACAAAATGGAAAGAATTCTCATGCTCATGGATTGGAAGAATTAATATTATTAAAAATATCCATATGATTTAAACCAATTATAGAATCAATACAATCTCCATCAAAATATTTATCATATTCTTGACAGAACTAGAAAAAATCCTAAAATTTATAAGGATGTACAAAGGATCTCTAAGAGTCAAATCAATCCTAAAAAAAGAAAAAGAACAAAGCTGGAGCTATCACAAAACAAGACTTCAAGATGTATTATCTAGCTAATTATAACTACAACTATATAGTACTGGCATAAAAAATCAGATTCATAGATCAATGGAAAAGAACACAGATTTCAGAAATGAATCCACACATCCCACACTAATTTTCCACAATGGCACCAGGAACATACTGGTGAGAGGACAACTGGAGAGAGGACAGCCTCTTCAATAAATGGTATGGGAAAAATTGGACATCCATATGCAGGAGATTGAAATAAGATACTTACCTCTCACTCAAAAGAAACAACCAACAGAATCTACAGACAACAGACAGAATAGAAAAAAAATTGCAAATTCTATATCTGACAGAAAATTAATATTCAGAATAAATAAGGAACTCTAAAAACTCAAAGAAACAATCAATCTAGCTAGGAAATGGGCAAAGGACATTTCTCAAAGGAAGAACTATCAATGCCTAACAAATACATGAAAAAAAAATCTTAGTATCACCAGCCATCAAGAAAGCATATCATCTCAATCCAGTTAGGAAGGCTGTCATCAAAAGGACAAAAAAAAAATAGCAAATGCTAGTGGGAAGTCAAGTAAAGGAACTTTATCCCAACTACTGTTGGGATATACATTAATGCAGCTACTATGAAGAATAATACGGAGGTCCTAAAAAAATCAAAATAGATCTATCATATGACCCAGTTAACCCCACTTCATGATATGTATCAGAACTTGAAATCAGCATATGAAAGAAATTCATGCACAGAACTATGCACAATAGCCTAGATATGAAATCAACCCAGGTGTCTATCAACAGATGAATAGATAAAGAAAATGTGGTGGGCATACACAATGGAATACTATCCAGGCATAGAAATCCTGATGCTTGCAACTAAACAGATGGAACTGTGGATCATTATAGTAAATAAAATAAATCAGACACAAAAAGACAAATACCATATGTTTTCCCTCATATGTGGAGTTAAAAATAGTTGATCTGAACTTAAAAGTGATTACTGCAGGCTGGGAAAGGAAGGGATATGAAATCACTCCAGAACAAATATCATTTCAAAGGCATACAAAAACATGTATTTTGAGAACAATTTTACAATCCAGATCATGAGAGCATCCAGGGGTATAATATTGCAACAACTAAATTCCTGTAGATATAAAATATATAGTCCAAAATTTGGTCTGTGGTAAAGTATTTCAATAACTTAATTAGCATTTGATACAACAGTTTTAAAACTTTGGATAAAAATTTAGAAAAGCAGCATCAAATTCCATGGCTGGTATCAATTGAAAAAAAAAAACACCTAAATAAAATGTAAAAGAAATGTTTGTGACAAGTTGCTGATTATTTGCTCAATCAACTCACCCTTATCAAAGAAGTCATCTACTCTTTTTTGAAGAGTGTCATCAGTAAAATAAGATCTATCGGTGTCTTCAAGTACATATGAATATTTGTCTTTATCAGATTCAGAACTTTTCATACAATCCAATTTATTGATGGTCTCATTCAATGCTACAAAGACAGAAAATATCATACAACTTCAGTCCAAAAATCTAAATTTTTTGAGCAGAACAATAAAGAACTGGGGGCTGGCATTGTGGCATTCCATTTGCAATCTAGCCACCTGCTAATTGCCTGGAAAAAGCTTTCTATAACCCCATTTCCATAGTTTTCTCCACTCAAACAGTTTTCTATTTATAACCTCTGCTGGTTATAAACAACCCTTTTATCATTCTTTATTTTAAAGATTTATTTATTTATTTGAGAGGCAGAGTTACAGACAGATGGAGAGATGCAGAGAAAGGTTTTCCATTCACTGGTTCACTCCCCAGATGGCTACAACAGCTGGAGCTGGGCCCATCTGAAGCCAGGAGCTGGGAGGTATTTCCAGGTCTCCCATGTGGGTGCAGTGGTCCAATCATTTAGGCCATCTTCCTCTGCTTTCCCAGGTGCATTATGAGGGAGATGGATCAGAAGCGGAACAGCTGGGACTCGAACCAGCGCCCATATGGGATGCCAGTGCTGCAGGTGGAGGCTTAACCTGCTACACCACAGCACTGGCCACATTCATTATTCTTAAAATTATTTTGTTTAGGGGATGGCACTGTGGTGCAGTGGGTTAAAGCCCCGGTCTGCAGTGCCAGCATCCTATATGGGCACCGGTTCAAGTCCCAGCTGCTCCACTTCTGATGCAGCTTTCTGCTATGGCCTGGGAAGGCAGTAGAAGATGGCCCAAATCCTTGGGCCCCTGCACCCATGTGGGAGACCCAGAGGAAGCTCCTTGCTCCTGGCTTTGGATTGGCACAGCTCCAGCCAATGCAACATCTGAGGAGTGAATCAGTAGATGGAAGACCTCTCTCTCTCTGCCTCTGCCTCTGCCTCTGCCTCTGCCTCTGCCTCTGCCTCTGCCTCTGCCTTTCAAATAAATAAATAAATCTTTAAAAAAATTATTGTGTTCAATGTCTTGGCTTAAGTAGGAGATAGTCTCCTATGGACAAAAGTATGTCAAAACTCCTCTAGTTATTCTGTTAATAAGCCTTTCAATAAAAAAGTAACTTCTGTTCTTCATAACTCCTCCCAAACCCCAATTCTTCTCTTTCCACTTCTGTCCCTATATCCCTATCAGCTAACTTCATTCACATTAGAGAATCCTCATAGTCTCAAGTTTACATGGTAACATCAAAATTTGGAAACAGATAACCAACATCCTTTAATTTAAAAAACAGAGTTCATATTTCTATACTATATTCTTAAAAATGTACCTTTCAGGATTAAGAGAAATGAATAAATTATTAAAATTAGCTTCTTTAAGTAAAATTAAATAATTTGATATTGTTTTGGTCTATGACATAATCATCAATAAGAAGTTTTAAAAATAGGTCAAAGAAGAAAGGAAAATGAGTCAAGAAAAAACATCAACATAGCGGGAAAGAGAGAACATGATAGTTCTTTTGACATTTTCTAAAGTATAAAAAGTCATTTAAAAGTTCATTTGAGAAAGACAACCTTATTTTTAAATGATCAAAGAATATTCACAACTATGAAATACATTTTAGCTCTCTGATAAAGAAGTACATATTAAAACAATAAAAAATTTAACTTAGAATTTTTAATAATATCCAATGTTGATATAAGTATGAATGTTTATAACTTTTAGAAGATAATTACACAGTAGCTATTAACATTTTAAATCTGAAAAAAATTTTGCCCAGTAAGTCCACAGCTAAGAAGCCTATTCTACAGAAATGCTTGTGTGTATGTGCATAAAGATATGTGTAAGGACGTTCATTAAATGTTTACAATAGTAAAAAGTTGCAAATAACCTAAATATTCATCAAAAGGATTATGTATAAAGTTATAGTATATCCCTATATTCTTGACTATTATGTAATATTCAAAAAAAATGTGGTAGGCTTATATAATACATTGGAAAATGAAACAATATCCAAAGTATACCATTAATTAAGAAAAAAGTTATAAAATATTATGAACAAAATAATACAAGTTTTAAATTAAAATTCAGGATACACCATTATTCATAGATGTAAAATATTAAATGAATATTCATCAAACATTACTAGGGATATTTCCAGAGGATAATAATAAAAGAGATTTATACATTATATTTCTTATATTTTTGGTCATCCAGGGGTTTTTTGCATTAAAAAATTGGTGTTACTCTATCATAAAGATGTCTTATTTTAACTATTTGAAAAGATAACAGCCTAGTGATTTTTTAAATCTTTTCCATCCCAAAAATACAATTCTTAAATTTAAAAATAAAATATAGTACATTCCCCATAACTGGAAGTGTTTGAATGCAGATGAAACAAACATTTGGCACAGGTATTGTCTTAGTCCATTTTTTGTTGCTAATAACACAACACCACAGACAGGGTAAATTACAAAGAGGTTTATTTTGGCTTATGGTTCTTGTGGTCCAAGAGGCCACATAAGTTGATGATGGTCTTCCTGGCAGAGTGCCAAGGTGGCACAAGGCATCACATGGTGAAAAGCAGGGAGCAAGCATGTTTGGGTCCTCTGGTCTCATAAAGCAACGGGAATTCAGTCATGGGGTCTCCTAATGACTTCATCTAATCCTAATCATTTCCTGAAGGACCCACCTCTAAACACCAGAGTCAGGTTGCTTACACTCTTGGTACTTTACAGGGGGATTAAATTCCAATATGAGTTTCAGAGAGGCCAAACCATAGCAAATATGAGCTCTATAAAGAAACTTCAAGCACCAAATACAATGATCGATTGCATGACCTTTTGAATGAGTTCTGTGTTTCTGTCTTTTACTACTTTTAACTATAAAGCTCTTACCAGTAAAATTAGAAAATTTCTGTGTGTTTCTCAAAGCCTGTATAAAGTCTCTAATATTCACCATGTTGTCTTCTGGAAGGAAAAGAGAGAGTTGACAAATAAGAACTCCCAGACACAATAATACTAAAAGGATGCTATCAAAATCAATATGCAACCTTATATATTTCTTAAATATTTTATTCATAAGGTACTTTTGAACTCTATAAGGTTATGGACATATTACTTCTGATTCTACCTATAATGGAACTAAAGTACCAACAAAAATCCAGTTATCTCACTCAGGCATAGGTGGCAAAGCTAATATTTCTACTCACAGAACTTGAATTCTCAAGCTGTTCTTCACCCGCTAAATCAATACGTATGTGGAGAGAGAGGATTTCAACAAGCCCACTCTTCACAAAATTTAGTCTTGCTTGTTTAAAAGTATTCTATAACTTCAAATGAGGAAATTAAAAGAGGAAAGGCCCCTTTTAGAAGATAAAACTTACAATAACATAAGAAAATAGTTATAGATCTTGCATACCTCCCTTTATTGCACTGCTATTAAAAGAAATCTGGAGCTGGCATTGTGACATAGAAGATTAATTCTCCACCTGCAGTGCTGGCATCCCATATGGTCACCAGTTCGAGTCCTGGCTGCTCCACTTCTCATCCAGCTCCCTGTTAATGCACCTAGGAAAGCAGTGGAAGATGGCCCAACTACTTGGGCTTCTGCATCCACGTGGGAGACCCAGAAGAAGCTCCTGACTCCTGGCTTCAGCCTGACCCAGCCCTGGCTGTTGCAGCCATTTGAGGTGTGAACCAGCAAATAGAAAATCTCTCTCTCCTTTTCTCAGTATTTCTGCCTTTCAAATAAATTAAATATATCTTTTTTAAAAATCTGAAGGTGATACTTAAACACTTACGAGAAACAAAATCTGATTGAAGAATTTTCTGTACCTCTTCTTGAGGCAACTTAATCCCAACACTTCTTAGAAAGTCTCCCAAGTTCTTTTCAGCTATCACGTCGCCTCCAAGTGAATCAAGAGCTAGCACAATCTCTCGTGACTCTAGAAATACAGTTACTTGGTAAATAAACTAACTTCTGATTTAAAAAAGAACAGAAGCTATAAGTAAAGACTCCTGTCAGTGGCACCCAATGGTTTAATATCATATCTTGAGCTGAAAAACACAAAATCTCAGAGACGAATTCATCCCTCAGATAAATATATGAGACCAGCAACTCAGTGTGTAAAAAGTCCTTGACTGATTACATTTCTCTGATGCTAATACAAAATTGGTACAACCAAAATGATTGATATACCTGAATTTTTCAGTGCAATTATACAAAGTAGTTTGCCATGGAGCTTTACTGTTAGCAATAAACCAACTCATTTTGATATAGGTTAACTAAAGTTCAGAATCATGAGAAATACAAAATATGGAATAAAATTCACAACAATTCATTCACCTGGGTTTCCAATTCTACCAAGACTTAATTGTTCCCTAGCAGCTGGAATTTTGCTTCATTTCCAGCAATGATTAAGTCAGACAGACCCACATTCAATTCTTGCCTTCAGGATTTGTGACCTGGAACTGTATTACTACTCTAAGCAAATTATTGCTACTTAACCACTTTACAAAGTTCACAGTCTCACATGTAAAATTGGATAATAATATCTATCTCACAAAGTTGATGTGGATATTAAATATGATAATATATTAAAAACACTTAAAACAGTATAAAAATGTTATGGTCACAACAGTGAGATGAGAATGATGTTTATAAAAGCCAACAAAAACTAGCAGAAGGAACCACAGCTTCTTAGTACCTTGCATCCTTGTCTCACTTCTTGTTCCTGTAACATCACTGAGAGGCAACTGCAGAATAATCTGAGTGTGGCCAGCACTTGAACACTCTTACCACCTCTGCTTCTTTGTCTTAACTAAAACTTGATTTCTTTTAAAAACATTATTTCCTTGCAAAATCGTCTTGAGTGAAGTTTACTCACCTTCTTACACTCCACATACCCTTTCAGCTCAAAGATTATGCCTCCCCTTTGAGGCTCAGGCCTATCACTAAACTATGCCACTCTCCAGACACCATTATATATAATTTTCTGATCGTTCCTTCACATTCTCTGAGGATTCTAGCACCTTAATCACAATTCTTTCTCCACCCCATGTCCCATTATCATTCAATGACAATAAAAATGATCAAAGTCTCAAAGTATTTTAATTCTTAATGACAAAAAGCCTTCCTTTCCTTTTTAAAGTTTGCTTAGTTTTAAAATTTAACAACTTTTAGTATTTTGCCACATTTACTTCATATGTAGATGTTATATACATACACATATATACTATATTTTGTGCTAACAAGGATATTAATATCACAAAATAAGTGATTCATATCAATGATCCTAAGCCTTCACTTCCTTTCCAAAATCACTTTACTTTCTTTCCAAATGGCTACATTTAATCCTCACCATTACCTAGAATTGCCTACTCTACCTCTAAAATCTTATTAAACTACAGTGTAAGACAGTGACCCAACTCTCTTTAAAATTATAAATATGGAGGGCCAGCACTGAGGCTCAATAGGCTAATCCTCCACCTGCGGCGCCGGCACCCTGGGTTCTAGTCCAGGTCAGGGCACCGGATTCTGTCCCAGTTGCTCCTCTTCCAGGCCAGCTCTCTCCTGTGGCCCGGGAGTGCAGTGGAGGATGCCCAAGTGCTTGGGCCCTGCACCCCATAGGAGACCAGAGAAGCACCTGGCTCCTGCCTTCGGATCAGCGCGGTGCCCTAGCCGTGGTACCCCGGCCTCAACGGCCATTGGAGGGTGAACCAACGGCAAAGGAAGACCTTTCTCTCTGTCTCTCTCTCTCTCTCTCACTGTCCACTCTGCCTGTCAAAAAAAATTATATATATCAGGAAAAACATAACATAAACAAGACTAGTGTCTGCTAATACTAACTGATAGAATCAAAAAGGGAGAGAACGATCCAACATGGGAAGCGGGATACACAGCAGACTCATAGAATGGCAGATGTCCTAAACGGCACTCTGGCCTCAGAATCAGCCCTTAAGGCATTTGGATCTGGCTGAAGAGCCCATGAGAGTATTTTAGGCATGGAAAGCCAAGACACTCTGAAAAAAAAAAAATACCCTAAATGAAAGATCTCTGTGAATGAGATCCCAGTAGAAAGAACGGGCCATCAAAGAAGGAGGTACCTTTCTCTGAAGGGAGGAGAGAACTTCCACTTTGACCATGACCTTGTCTAAATAAGATCAAAGTCAGCGAACTCAAAAGGCTTCCATAGCCTTGGCAACTCAGGACAAGAGCCTAGGGAGATTACTGACTCCATAAACAAGAGTGTCAATTTGTTAAGTCAACAACAAGAGTCACGATGCACTTACTCCTCATGTAGGATCTCTGTCCTTAATGTGTTGTTCAATGTGAATTAATGCTATAACTAGTACTCAAACAGTATTTTACACTTTATGTTCTGTGTAGGTGCAAACTGTTGAAATCTTTACTTAATATATACTAAATTGATCTTCTGTATATAAAGATAATTAAAATGATGTGAATGGAATGGGAGAGGGAGTAGGAGATGGGAGGGTTGCGGGTGGAAGGGAAGTTATGGGGGTTGGGGGGGAGAGCCATTGTAATCCATAAGCTGTACATTGGAAATTTATATTTACTAAATAAAAGTTTAAAAAAAACACTAAAAAAAAAATATATATATATGGGGGCTGGGACTGTGGCATAGTAGATTAAGCTGTTGCCCTAAGTGCCAGCATCCTATATGGGCACTGGTTCGAGTCCCAGCTGCTCCACTTCCAATCCAGCTCTCTGCTATGGCCTGGGAAAGCAGTAGGAGATGGCCCAAGTGCTTGGGCCCCTACACCCATGTGGAAGACACAGAAGAAGCACCTGGCTCCTAGCTTAAGATCAACCCAGCCCTGGCCATTGCGGTCATTTGGGGAAGGAACCAGCAGATTAAGGACCTCTCTGCTTTTGCCTCTGCCTCTGCCTCTCTGTAACTCTTTCAAATAAATAAATAAAATTTTTAACATATATATATATATATATATATAGTTGAAGTAAAGCATAGAATTTTATTCATACTATGCTTATGCTGCTGGTTCCTCTAACCTCTCCAACAAATAGCCCAGGCATAGTGAAACCACCTTTATTAGTTAGCATTACAGGGAATATTCTGAAAACCAAGTTGCCATATGCCAGCCAACCTTAGCAGGTTCTTCTGAAAACAGTGGCCTCAGACTTGCTACTTTAACTCTTGCTCAAGTGGCCCTTTCTTGCTGGCCTTATAATGTAGTGGTTGGCAAATAATGCAATGCCATTCCCCAATCCCTATGATCATCCACCAGATTCATGTACTTAAACTTGAGTCTGCTCTCCTTAATGGCTTAATGGCTCAATGGCTTAATTTCAAAAAATTTCTTTTTCCTCCTTAAAAAAAAAAAAAGACCTGTCTTGGAGCCAGCATTATGGCACAACAGCTTAAGCCACAGCCCACAACACCGCAACACCGACATCATCTCAATAAAAGTAAATTTAACAGTCACAATCTAGCACTTGCCTTCTAATCTGGAGGCATCATTCACATTCTTTACTGCTTCTGCAAATTCGTCAAATTGGACTTTGTTATCTTCTACAAGAAAAGCATTTTAATAGATCAGCCTCAAAGTCATATCCAATGGAGCAATTGATAAAATGTGAATAACTTGATTATTCATAAGAATCATACTTTCCTTTTATATTTTGAACATTTTGTGGATTACATAAACTGAGTTCTCAGTTTCAGTCATTCAATGGAGACTGAACAATCCATATATAAATATAAAGCTAATATATATTCCTGGATAAAACTAAAAGATAAACCTCAATCCAAGTTTAGCCTTTCAATTGTTTGAAAATGAAAATTCTATACTAGATAACTTGAATGACTTCTTTCAGCGTTCGATGGTTCCATCACTACAATTTCTAACATAAGTTACACCTATTTCTTGTGCAAGAACACACAAGTACTGAATTACAAAGTAGAGACATAGGAGACAGAAGCAGCTATATTTCCCTGTTTAGAATAGGGAAGATTAATACAAGGATTCAGAATTATTATAATTTAAGATCATAGACTAGAATAAAGCATAACGAACAAGATGTATATCTAAGATAAAAGCCTATATTTACAGTTTTTTTTAAATATAGCTATGGTTAATGACATCTTATCTTCTATCTACCATGGCTTTTAAATTAACACTTGTGGGGCAGCGCTGTGGCAGAGCAGATTAACGCCCTGGCCTGAAGTGCCGCATCCCATGTGGGTGCTGGTTCGAGACCCGGCTGATCCACTTCCAATCCAGCTCTCTACTATGGCCTGGGAAAGCAGTACAAGATGGCCCAAGTCCTTGGGCCTCTGCACCTGTGTGGGAGACCTGGAGGAAGCTCCTGGCTCCTGGCTTTGGATGGGCCCAGCTCCGACTGTTGCAGCCAATTGGGGAGTGAAACATCAGATGGAAGACCTCTCTCTCTCTCTTATCCTTTCTCTGTGTAACTCTGACTTTCAAATTAATTATTTATTTAACACTTGAGTTTCTGGAACTGTAGTATATAGAGAAAAATCACATATTTCTATTGTAGCATTCTTCCTGCTTCTGTGTTTTAGTAGGGCCCAACATCTCCCTTATTACAAAGGCTTTGCTCCTGAATCTATCATTTATCCCAAGTAGTATTAATTACTAAACTCGAATAAAGATATGAACATTGCCCATTTATTCTATGTTCACTGGGCTATGCCTTTTTCCATTAGCATATGACTTAACCTGAAAGTACTCAATACATATTTGATCAATTTGACAATATCAAATATCAAATATTAATATTTTCTGTAGGATAAACCATCTGAAATTCCTTTGTATTTCCTAAATGTGTATATTGACATTTTAACCATGTTGGAACGCTCTATCCCACTAAGATCTGAAGCTATAAAACCAGCAGAAAAAAATGTTAGAAGTCCCATGACATTGGTCTAGGCAGACATTTCTTAGATATGACTCCCAAAGAAAATTAATGAAAGTAAAAATAGACATATGGGATGGCATGAAACTAAGAACCTCTACATAGCAAAGGGAAAAAACTAATGAGAGTAAAGAGACAACTTACAGATTGGAGAAAATATCTGCAAATCATATGCCAGACCATGAGCTAATACCCAAAATATACAAAGAGTTCAAACTATTCAGTAGTAAGAAAAAATCCTATTTTTTAAATAGACAAGGGATTTGAATACTTCTCTCAAAAGAAAAAATGGTCAACAGATCTATGGGAAAAAAATGTTCTGGGGCTGACTTTGTGATGTAACTGGTAAAGCTGCCACCTGCATCATCAGCATCGCATATGGGTGCCAGTTTGAGTCCCAGCTGCTCCACTTCCAATCCAGTTAGCTCCCTGCTATTGAGAAAAGCAGGGAGAATGGCCAAAGTGTTTGGGCCCCTGCAGCCACACAGGAGATCCAGATGAAGCTCTGGCTCCTAACTTCAGCCTAACCTAGCCCCAGCTATTGTGGTCATTTGGAGAGTGAACCAGCATATGGAAGATCAGTCTCTCTGTGTCTTTCCCTCTAACTCTTATTTTCAAATAAATAAATCTTCTTTAAAATGTTCAAAATCTCTAATTATGAAAGAAATCCAAGTTAAAAACACAACGAGATACCACCTCATACTTGGTAGATTGGATGTTATCAAAAACATAAAATAAATTCATATGCTTTTCTATCTTAATTTTAGTATTCGGAATACTCACCATCAACTTTTACTAGTTTTAGTGCAGCCAAGAACTCATCTTTCTTTAAGTTACTATTCAAACTAGTCAAAGTATTCCACAAATCGGAGACACTCATCTTCTCCTTGCTGAGATTGTGGAAGTCTTCAATAACATTGTGCAATACTAAAGGTTGGAGAAAAATACAATCTTTATGACTTTTTTATCCAAGAAGTTATTATAGTAAGCTTTCATTGGGAATAGTCAAGAAATTTAGATCTCTATGGTTAAGAATGATGACTGCACAAAAGTACTGGCAATTTTCAAATATCAAAGCACAATAACATATTTAACACCCAACTTAAAGTATTTTTGAGGATGAGATATTTCAAGAATTTATAATATCCTCATCTTTGAATTTTAAATTTACAAAAGTCTGAACTCACAAGCATTTCCAACTGATAAAACAGTGAGTTAAATAGCTTTTGTTCTATGCCCTCCCCAAAAATTCTTGCCTGGCTCCTTTTTCCTCTTCAATCTATCACTGTAGAAAATGGAAAGAAGTTTTATTCTTTGGAGGGTTTTAAATGGGAGAGTGAAATTACTTTCTTAGCAATTTATAAAAAATCACTCTGATGCAATACAGAGAATGGACTCTCTGGAAGGTTACACAGTTAGGAAGCTGCTACAATACTGCAGAGGAAAAGAGTGACAGAGATGGAGATGATGAGTAGTGAACAAATTCAAGATATATTTTGAGAATGAAGCTGAGTATCTAGTGATGAATTGAATGGGAGGGACCATGAAAAACTCCTAGGTTTGAGACCAGAGCAACTGCGTAGATACTGCTGTCAAATACTAGGAAAAGATCAAATTGTTGGAGAAGTACATATTGAGTACAAAGGGAGTCAAGAGGACATAGAATTGAGGGTACCAAAAATGTAATCCATGCACAGTTTCTTTTTTCATAATAATCACCTTACATTAATTTTTGAGGGCCTTTTATGTTATTAAGGTAGTAGGATCATTCTGGAAGAGCCTTCATTAGGAAATGTGACTCAGGGGGCTGGCGCGATGGAGCAGTAGGTTACTCTTCCTCCTGCAGCACAGCCATCCCATATTGTTGCTGGCTCATGTCCCAGCTGCTCCTCTTCTGATCCAGCTCTCTGCTATGGTCTGGGAAAGCAGTAGGAAATGACCCAAGCACTTGGGCCCCTGCACCCGTATGGGAGACCTGGAAGTAGCTATGGGATCCTGGCTTCGAATAGGCCCAGCTCCTGCCATTGCAGCCACTTTGGGGAGTGAACCAGCAGATGGAAGACCTTTTTCTCTGTCTCTCCCTCTCACTGACGGTAACTCTACCTCTCAAATAAATCAATAAAATCCTAAAAAAAAAAAAAAAAAAAAAAAAAAAAAAAAGGAAAGGAAAGGAAAATGTGACTTAGAAAAGAGTATGTATGGGATTATGTTAATATTTAAAAATCAATCAGAAAAGAAGACAGCAAACAAGATCAAAATGGAATGATTGCGGGTGCTGTGGCTCACTTGATTGATCCTCCAGCTGCAGCGCCGGCATCCCATATGGGCACAGGGTTCTAGTCCCAGTTGCTCCTATTCCAGTCTGGCTCTCTACTGTGGCCCAGGAAGGCAGTGGAGGATGGCCTGGGTGCTTGGGCCCCTGCACCCACATTGGAGACCTGGAAGAAGCTCCTGGCTCCTGGCTTTGGATCAGCATAGCTCCGGCCATGGCAGCCATTTGGGGGTGAATCAACGGAAAAAAGACCTTTCTCTCTGTCTCTCTCTCTCTCACTGTCTAACTCTATCTCTCAAAAAAAAAAAATGGAATGACTAATAAAGTGGGAAGGAAATTAAGAAATTATAGTATCACAAGAAACAAAAGAGAAATTTTCTAAACAAAACATATTAAAAGCTGGTAGAGAAGCAGGATTCTATCCAGCAGTTAAGATGTGCTTGGACACCTGTATCCCATATCAGAGTACATGTGTTTTGTCTTGGCTCCAGCCCTGATTCTAACTTCCTGCTAATGAGTACCCTGAGAGAGAGCAGTGACAGCTCAAGTAATTGGGTCCCCACCACCTACATGAGAGTCCAGGATTAAGTTCCCTGTTCCTGGCTCAGCCTGATCCAGCCCTGGCCATTGTAGGCATTTGTGGTGTGAACTAGAAATGAAGGCTCTCTCTGTCTCTCTCCCTCTCTGTGTGTGTATATTTGCCTCTCGAATAAGTAATATTTTTTTAAAATAAAATAATAAAATGAACACTACCTGAGATGGAAAGACAAAGAAAAATTCATCATTGGATTTAGTAGAATAAAACTTGTTTCTATGAAAACCTAGTATGGAGTGGTAAGGACAAAACCTGAATGCATGTTTTTGTTTTTGTTTTTTTACTTTATTTTTTTTTGACAGGCAGAGTTAGACAGTAAGAGAGAGAGACAGAGAGAAAGGTCTTCCTTCCGATGGTTCACCCCCAAAATGGATGCTACGGCCGGCGTGCTGCGGTCATCGTGCAGCGCCGATCCCAAGCCAGGAGCCAGGTGCTTCCTCCTGGTCTCCCATGAGGGTGCAGGGACCAAGCACTTGGACCATCCTCCATTGCCTTCCCGGGCCACAGCAGAGAGCTGGACTGGAAGAGGAGCAACTGGGACAGAACCGGCGCCCCAACTAGGACTAGAACCTGGGGTACCGGCGCCGCAGGTGGAGGATTAGCCTAGTGAGCCGCGGCACTGGCCAGAATGCATGTTTTTAAAGACAGAATTGGTGGGGCCGGAGCTTTGGTACAGTGGGTTAATGCCCTGGCCTGAAGCGCCAGCATCCCACATGGGCGCTGGTTTGAGACCCGGCTGATCCACTTCCAATCCAGCTCTCTGCTATGGCCTGGGAAAGCAGTACAAGATGGCCCAAGTCCTTGGGCCTCTGCACCTGCGTGGGAGACCCGGAAGAAGCTCCTGGCTCCTGGCTTCAGATCAGCACAGCTCCGGCTGTCACAGCTATTTGGGGAGTGAACCATCTGATGGAAGATCTCTCTCTCTCTCTCTATGTAACTCTGACTTTCAAATAAATAAATAAATAAATCTTAAAAAAAAAAGAATTGGTAGTATAGTACACTAAAAATAGCTCGATTCCCCTTCAACCTCAAATAAAAACACTATATACCAAACTTTAAAATATCAATAAAAATAGAATTTGATCATGGATTGGAAGGAGAATGAGTTGGATAGGAGAGTAGAAGCAGTGGAGCTAGGGCAATAAGAGGGGGAAAGAGGACAAAGAGGATTCTTAAGTTATGGGCCTAACCAACTGGATGCTAAGCTCAAAAGAAAGGAAAGTCACCAAATGCCAGAAATGAGGAAGAATTGTTAAATATGTATATACCTGAGCTGATGCCACCGTGGTCAGATGGTATGATGTGGAAGTTAAGAAAGCAAGATATATCTGAGCTCTAATCTTAACTCTACCTCTTACCAGCTGTATGACACTATGTAGGGATTTACTTTTTTTCTGATCTCTGTATCTTGGTTTTCTCATTTATAAAATAAACATACTAGAGTTGATATGAAAAATCATTGAGTTAAATAAAAAGTATATGGAACAGTACTGGTAAATCATCAGCACTGAAATACAAGTAACAATAATATAAGTTTAATATAACATTACTATTAATGTGGTGCATGTAAGTCTAAAGTTATAATTGAGATGCCTTCATAAACCCAGGACTCTGGAAAGTCTTCCTGTCTGCAAAATTATGACTAAAATACTTTGGCTTCCATTCCAGGCACATTCAAGAAGAAAGCATGTTCTTCCTGAAGTCTGGACATGGAAAAAACACCTCTAGTGATAATCTAAATCTCAAAGCTACCGTGTGTGAATGTGATGCAAGGTTTCAAATTGAACAATTTACATAATACAAAAATTCCAAACCCTAACCTAACATAAAATAATATAAAAGTTCCATAGGAATTAACATAAAAGTGACACAGCTAATTATTATTATGGGGAAAAAAATAAGTTGGATCCCAATTTCACTTGATACATAAGAAACAATTCCATGTAAAATAAAGACTAAAAGATGAAAATCCTTAAAACTTTTAGAAGAAAATACTGGAAAATTTCTTACTGTCCTCAAAACTGAGGTAGATTTCTGTTTGCTATATAAATCAAAGTTACCTGTTAAATGTGAGAGAGGTAAGGGTTTGGATAGGCTTGGAAGTTTGAGAGAATAGAAATTTTAAATAATTATTTCAAAAAGTGGAAGAATAGCTAACTGTAAAAAAAAATCATAATTCCTGGATAGCACTGAAGGCTAGCAAACAGTGAACACTGATAACCAAAACGCTCTGGTGGTATCCTGAACAATCTACTCAGCTGTGATTTTTCACAGAACAATCTTCTCCTTGTGGTTTTTCTCCAATAATGCCGTCAACCACAAGAAGAAGGCAGGGTTCAATTAGGGCTGAGAGTTTAGCAAGATGGGTGTAACAAAATCACAAAGAAGCAAGAGAGTTTAGCAAAATAGGTATATAAAGAACAAGAATTTAACTGGGGGGCATTGCAGTGGCACAGTAAGTTAGTCCTCCGCCTGTGGTGCCAGCATCTCATATGGGCACCGGTTCTAGTCCTGGCTGCTCCTCTTCCAATCCAGCTGTCTGCTGTGGCCTGGGAAAACAGTAGAAGATGGCCCAAGTCCGTGGGCCCCTGCACCCACATGGGAGACTGGGAAGAAGCACCTGGCTCCTCCTGGCTTCAGATCAGCACAGCTCCGGCCATTGTGGCCATTTGGAGAGTGAACCAACAGACGGAAGACATTTCTCTCTGTCTCTCCCTCTCACTCTATGTAACTCCACCTCTCAAATAAATAAATAAAATCTTTTTTTTTAAAAAAAAGAATTTAACTGGATAAGGATTAAAAGCAAAAATAAGAGGAGGATGGTGGAGAAGGGGAAAGTAGAGGAGTAAACGAGTGGAAGGCACCAATGAGATATATAGAACCAGTAAAGGAGGTATGCCCTGAGCAGTTTGATGAAAAAAAGGGGAAAATGTAAATATAAATATGCATTATTAATAATCAGAAAAATATATAACATAGATTTGATTAAAAATAATATAAAACTCTGTTCTAATAAAATTTTAATATCCATGAAATTGAAATTCCTATGAGAAATGAAATGACAATACAAATAATTTCTTCATCTTTATTGTTGTGCAGTCTTATAGGAGACAAGATTGATTGATTTATATTATGAGGTAAAAATAACTGTTAGAATCTACTACTACCAAGTATTTAAAGATAAAATAATACAATGCGACTTTTAGTCCCAATTTTAAAGTGTTAACTTTATTCCATTAAATATATACACATATGACCCTACATTTCTTTATGTAAGCTTCTTAATGTAAGACTATATTTTTCATGTTAGCACAGTTACAGCCTAATATAAAGCCTATACATATTAATGGCTCATAAATATTATTGAATAAATTGGAAGACAGAAACAAATACTGAAAAAACAGTTGACACAAGAAAGTCCGCATATTAGTACTCAGCCACTAGATGTCATCACTTTCCCAAAGTGAGAAGACATTTTAACCCTTCCCCAAAAATGAATATTACATACTCAAACAAGGTTCTAGCTTTCTATCACAAGGGTGAGAATGAAAAGTAAGATTATGACAGCTTTTCAATTTACTTGCATGGGGAAGTTATTCTAGAACTAGCATTCAATAATGGAGAAGATTATAACAAACATAGTAGCAGGAAGCTAAACATTCAGCTGCCTAAAGATTGGTCCAATGACTAGCTCTTTCAGTATTTTATACTCTTCTAAAAATCTGCCAAATTGGGGCTGACATTGTGGTATAGTAGGTAAAGCTACTGCCTGCAACGTCAATTCAAGTCCTGGCTGCTCCATTCCAACTTCCTGCTAATGCACCTGGCAAAGTAGCAGAGGACGGCCCATGGGGCCCCTGCGACCATGTGCGAGACCCAGAAGAACCTGGATCCTGGCGTCAGCCTGGCACAGAACTAGTTATTGCAGCCATTTGGGGAATGAACTAGAGAACGGAAGATTTCTTCTCTCTATCTCATCCTCTATCTCTCTTCACTCTGCTTTTCAAATAAATAAAGTAAATCTTTTTTAAAAACCTGTCCACTTGTTTGATCCACAAAAACACATGACATGATGTTCTTACATACGTAATTTTTCAGAGAAGCGGTCTGTGTTGTTCAACATAGTATCAACAAATTCTTTAAAATTCACTGTTTTCGTATCTAAAGGGAAAAAACATTTTCTTCAATATCTTTAAGGATTAAATTATTATCACTAATATCAAATTATGTAAAATAAGTTATATAACCAGGAAAATATAATCAATCAGGTAATATTAACCAATAAAAATACATGGGTATACAGAGAAAATATAATTCAATTTTATGGGCAAAAAATAAACCCTGGGGCTATAGCATTGTGGCACAGCAGGTTAAGCCACCACTTGAGATGCTGGCATCCCATACTGAAGTGCCAGTTTGAGTCCTGGATGCTCTGTTTCTGATACAGCTTCCTGCTAACCTGCAAAGGCAACAGAAGATGGCCCAAGTACTTCAGCCCCTGCCATGTGCAAGACCAGGATCGAGTTGCTGGCTCCTGGTGGCAGCCCCACAGAACTAGTTATTGCAACCATCTGGGAGTGAACTAGAGGATGGAAGACCTCTGTCTCTCTCTCACCCTCTCATTCTCTCTTCATTTTTGTTTTCAAATGAATAAATCTTAAAAAAAAAAACCTGAAGAACACTAAGAAAATGTATAAAATCCTTCTAGTCCCTTCAAAGTATACAATATTTTAACTTTTAAAATATATTATCTTGTCTTGGTCTTGCAGCAACTCAGTAAGATATGTCAGTGAAGTACCGGTGTCTTATTTTTCAAATTAAAAATATTTTTAATTTAATTAATTTTTTTTTAATTAACGGGGTCGACACTGCAGCTCACTAGGCTAATCTTCCGCCTGCGGCGCCGGCACCCCAGGTTCTAGTCCTGGTTGGGGCGCTGGATTCTGTCCCAGTTGCTCCTCTTCCAGTCCAGCTCTCTGCTGTGGCCTGGGAAGGCAGTGGAGGATGGCCCAAGTGCTTGGGCCCTGCACCCGCATGGGAGACCAGGAGGAAGCACCTGGCTCCTGGCTTCGGATCTGCGCAGTGCGCTGGCCCCAAAGCACTGGCCGTAGCGGCCACTTAGGGATGAACCAACGGTAAAAGGAAGACCTTTCTCTCTGTCTCTCTCTCTTACTGTCTAACTCTGCCTGTCAAAAAAAAATAATAATAATAATAATACATGATAATACAGTTTTTCCTAAGGTCACAGAAGAAATAGAAAATCAGGGATTAGAAGATCTCTTCCACCCAAGCTACCATTCACAATGACATTTTACTACAGAATACTACAGAAGTCATTAAACATTTTAGAAAACACCATTCCTTGATTATATATAATTCTTCATAATACTCCAAATGTTAGAGTTGGTTATTTAAATTCTAAATTTCCTAAGGCCAAACACAAGATTTAATAGAATCAATCTGAGGGAAAAAAAAAATAGCAAACTTTCAGTTTGTCTCAAAATGTGTCACTTACCATCAATCTCAGTCAACTCCCCAATCTTCTCCAATTCTGGCTTAGAAAGGTAAACTCCAAAATTCTGAAGACAGTTATTTAAATCTGCATAACCAACACGTCCATCTTTAATTTTATCAATGGCTTTAATAACATCAGTCAATGCTAAAAACAAAGCAGCAAGTTAATAAGTAAAAAAGAAAATACCAGTAACAAGATGAATTATAGTTCTAAACTGTTAAAAAATATAAATCACTTCAGAAATGTTAAACTAAAAGCATAACCAGAATCTTACATAATACTGAAAATCAATAAGTTTAAAGTCAGTCAAAATATATTGTTCTGTTACTCTACATAAATCTCTTCACCTAAAAAAATTATATTTCCCCAATTTATCCAAGGTAAAATTCCATAGTAGTTTATTTCTCAGTGGCAGAAAAAGAAGCAGAAAACTCTCAATCCCAAATTATAAAATGAGATAAAGGTTTGTTGCATATGTGGTTTGATCGTTGGTAAATTTAATTTAGCTTATCTTCTGTAAATGTAAATATTATTACTTAGAAATAACTTTTCTACAATGATTTTATTTCTACTTTTTGAATTCTTTATTTAGTGGAGGATTATATATTATAAAGGAAATTGAAAGTACATCATTGTAAAAATTAAAGAAAAATAAGAAAGGAAGGAGGCAGAGTGGCAATGAGGGAAGGAGGGAGGGTACAGCGGGAAGCATAATTATGCTCTTAAAACTGTATATATGAAATCATGAAATTTGGTCCCCTTTTACAAATAAAAAATTTTAAGAAGAAAAACAGTAATATATAAAATTTGTTTCCCTTATATAAATAAAAAAAAAATTAAAAAGAAATATCTTTGGCCAGCACTGCAGCTCACTAGGCTAATCCTCTGCCTGCGGCGCCGGCACCCCGGGTTCTAGTCCTGGTTGGGGCACTGGATTCTGTCCCAGTTGCTCCTCTTCCAGTCCAGCTCTCTGCTGTGGCCTGGGAAGGCAGTGGAGGATGGCCCAAGTGCTTGGGCCCTGCACCCGCATGGGAGACCAGGAGGAAGCACCTGGCTCCTAGCTTCGGATCGGCGCAGCACGCCATCCGTGGTGGCCATTTTGGGGCTGAACCAACAGAAAAAGGAAGACCTTTCTCTCTGTCTCTCTCTCTTTCACTGTCTAACTCTGCCTGTCAAAAAAATAAAAAATAAAAGAAATACCTTCACTAAATATCTTTTTATAATATTTTTCAATTCATACTTCATAAACTTGGGCAGCATTTCCTCCATCAAATTTAAGCTGATAAATTTTTACTATAGTGAAAGCATTCTTTTTTTAAAACTTTTATTTAATAAATATAAATTTTGAAGGTACAACTTTTGGATTATAGCGGTTTTCCCCCCCATAACCACCCTCCCACCCACAAACCATCCCATCTTCTACTCCCTCTCCCATCCCATTCTTCATTAAGATTGATTTTTAATTATCTAGTGAAGTATTCTTAAAGGAAATTATAGGAGCCAGTGTTGTGGCATAGTGGGTTAAGCCACCTCTTGCAATGCCAGTATCTCATATGAGTGCTAGTTGGAGTTCCAGCTGCTCCAGTTCCGATACAACTCCCTATTAATGCACCTAGGAAAGCAGAGGAAGATGGCCCAAGAAGCAGGGGAAGATGCACCCACATGGGAGAACTGGATGGAATCCCAGGCTCCTGGCTTCAACCTGACCCAGCCAGCCCCAGTCACTCAGTCACTGTGGTCATTTGGGGAGTGAAAAGTTCTCACACGCTCGCTCTCTCTCTCTCTTTCTCTCTCTCTTTTTCTTTCTTTCTCTCTTTCACTGTGTAACTCTTTCAAATAAATACATCTTAAAAATAGAAATTATAAATACATCGAATTATTGAAGGGGATCATATTGGAATTCATCTGGTTTAATTTTAAAATTTCAAAGTAAAGGTGATATATTAAATCATTGGAAGGAATATTTCAAAATAGCTAGTAGAGAGCACAAAGAAATGATAAATGTCTGAAGTGGTGGATATGCCAGTTACCCTGACCTCATTGTTACACATCATATGTGGGCATTTAAATATCACACCAACTCCATAAATAAGTACAAATACTAAGTGATAATTAATTTTTTAAATTATGGCAATAAAAAAACAATTTGAAGGGACAGTAAGAAATAATAACACACACACATACACAGAAACTCGAAAAAGCTCATGGGAAATGGAATTAAAAGGTAAGTTTATTTTGCTACCAAAAAAAATAAATTCTTCCTTGATCCAGGTGCATCTAAAGAGCTATACACCTGAAAGCTCTCTTGGCTAAGCATAACATTTAGAGAGAAGTATACTCTCTCTTCTCAAAGTCTGGGAACAGTCTAGAAGCCATCTGGGGAGTGAACCAGCAAAGTCTAGAAGCCATCTGGGGAGTGAACCAGCAAATGGAAGACTCATATTCTCATTCTCATTCTCTCTCTCTCTCTCTCTCTCTCTCTCTTTCTTCCCTCCTCCCTTCCTTTCCTCTGTCTCTTTCTATATATAACTCTGCCTTTCAAATAAATAAATCTTTCAGAAAAAAAGAGAGGAAAGGCACTATATTATGTCTGCCTCAAGTTTGAAACATGAACCCCAGCAGTATGAAATTGAAGAGAGATAGGGAAGTGACCATTCGCTATCCTCTTTGATCAATTAGAGTGATGTCCAGTGTGACAGAAGTCTGATGTAGTACAAAACAAAGGGACAGATGCAAAAAAAAAAAAATGTCAAAGAATCACTAGTTACAGATAGCAAGAACTACAGGAGCACTACTCTGAAGTAATCCAACCAATGCTAATAAGCTGAGGTAGCAAACACATCGTGTAAAGATGATAATCCTGAATTTACTTAACTATAAAAGAAACAACTGGAATGAAATTATTAGCATGCTAAAATCTACATAAAATCCAAATTTAAACTTTAAGTTAATGAATATAATTTTTTCTGAAGTTTTTACAATTTTTAAATGTTTATTTTTTGAGAGGCAAGTGGAGTGAGAGAAACCAAAAGAGAGAGCACCCACCCACTGTCCACTCCTCAAATGCCTGTATTTCTGAAGCTAGAAGCCAAGAGTTCAAAATGGGCCTCCCGCATGAGTGGCAGGAACTCAACCACTTCAGCCATCACCTGCTGCCTCTCACAGTGCACAGTGACAGGAAGCAGGATTTGAGAGTGGAGTCAGGATTCCAACTCAGGTGCTCCAATGTGAGATGCAGGTGGCCCAAGAAGCATCATAACTGCTACACCAAATATCTGCCGCTGAACTTTTCAGTAAATCAAATAAAAAAATTAATCCAAATTTAGAAATTTTGAAAAATTACAGGACTTCAAGTAAACATTAAAGTATGTTTCAGTTAAAAACCATGGGATCATTTCAATAGATACAGTATTTGATAAAATTCAACAAGAATTAATAATAACCCTCAACAAACTAAGAAAAAAGAAAAACTTCCTCAACCTGACAGAGGGTTTCTATAAAAATTCCATATCTGAATCCAGCACTATGGTGTAGTGGGCTAAGCTTCTGCCTCCAGCACCAGCATCCCATGTGGGTGCCAGTGCTAGTCTCAGCTGCTCCTCTTCTGATCCAGCTCTCTGCTATGGCCTGGGAAAACAGTGGAAGATGGCCCAAATATTGCATCCCTGCACCCACAGGGGAGACCCAGAAGAGGTTCCTGGCTCATGGCTTTGGGTTGGTCCAGTTCCAGCCATTGCAGCCATTTGGGGAGTGAACCAGCTGATGGAAGACCTTTTTCTCTGTCTCTCCCCGTCTCTGTCTGTAACTCTACCTCTCAAATAAATAAATAAAATCATTTAAAAAAAGAAAGAAAATAAAATTCCACATCTAAAACTATATTAATTGTAAGAAGCTAACTGCTTTCCCACTATCAGGAGCAAGAGAAAATGTCTAATCTTATCCTTTCTATTCAACTTTAAATTATCCTGGAGGTCTAGTAAGTATAATAAGAAAAGAGAAAAAAAAGTAAGGACATCCAAATTGGAGAGGAAAAAGTAGATCTATTTTAATCCACAGAAGACATGACCTAATACATAGAAAACAATAATGAATCAAAAATTTACTAGAACAAATAAGTTTTCTAAGGTCTTAAGAAATAGGATAAATATACAAAAGTCAAGTATATCTCTATGTAATAGCAATAAACAACTTCGATATGAAAACAATTCCATTCCTGTTATCAAAAAGAATAAGATGTTTAGAGATTAACATAACAAAAGAAACGTAAGACTTGTACACTGAAAATTAAAACATTGCTGAAAAATTTAAAAACATCTATAAGAATGGAAAAACATTCCATGTTTGTGAATTAGAACACTCAATATCATCAAGGCAAATCTCCTCAAATTCACCTCTAAATTCAACCCAATCTCTGTCAAAGCTCTAGCAATAAATTGGTCAAGTTAATCCTAAAATATATATGGAAATGCAAAGCACCTAACATAGCCAAAACGATTTGAAAAACAACAAAGTTGGCCTTTACACTACCTGACTAATACTGTGTCATACTGGCCCAGTAATAGGAATATACATCAACAGAACACAATTTAGAATTCAAAAATAAACTCATATTTATTATCAACTGATTTTTCAACAAAAGTTCCAAGACAAATAAATGGGGGAAAGGATAGTCTTTCAACAAATAGTATTGAGACAACTGGGTATTCACATACAAAAACTGATGTGGGGGGCAGAAATTGTAGCACAGCAACTTAATTCACTGCTTAAGATGCCAGTACCCCATATCAGGATTCCTGGTTTGAGTACTGGCTCTTCCATGTTTCAAATGCAGCTTTCTGCTAAATAAGCTAGAGACAGAAAGACAAATGCCACATAGTCTACTTCATAAGTGACAGCTGAAAAAAATCAGAACACAGAATGTTGATTACTAGAGACTGGGAGGATTGGGAGAGTTAGAAGGATTTGGATTAAAAAAAAGTAGGAGAAGCTAGATGTAGTTCATTAATTGTGACAAGTATATGAGATGTTAATAATAAGAGAAGCTATTTGTAGGGTATATGAGAACTCTTTGTATTATTGTTTTACCATTTTTGTTTTACAAATTTAAAACTATTCTGAAATGAAATGTTTAATAAAAGTTTTTTTTCAAATGCATTTTCAAACTGAGACCCCAGCTCCTGCATCCAGGTCTGTACTTGCAAACTGAGGGTTTGAACCCTCGATAGCCAGGTGATCCCACCAATCCTCCTCCAGTTCCCAAGAGAAAGCAGAGAAAGACTCCAGCTACTGCACAGTGGACAGGAGAGGTGAAAGGATCTTGCCTTGGGTGTCAGATGCAGGTCCATTGCCTTGAGATCCAGCATCTGATAAAGCCCCAATTACTCTGCTCACCCACATCCCTGGCCAGTGCTATTCAGACTAAGCCTCTAGACTTGCCCAACATCAGGCATAATGGACTTACTCTGGCACATATTGCCACAAGTCTCAAGCAGGTCTGGCATGTGTCCCCAAGACTTTAAGGGACCCAGTGATTGTCAGAGCAGGTCTAGTGGTCCTGCGGGCACTGGCCCATGGATGGGGTATTAGGATCTGCTCAATGTTGAGTTTTACCAGGTTGGCACTGGGTCCCTAAACAGCCCTGTGGTTCCTTGCTGTATGCCTGGACGGAAGTAGTCCCTTAGCTGCTCAGGCAGGCACTAGGTAAGTAACATCTGGCTCTCACAGTCACCAGACCCCATGCAAACTTGGGAGTGCATGCATACCAGGCACATGTGAGGTTAGCATTATGGCACATACAGGACATAGATCTCCACTTTATACTGGGGCAAATCCAGAGAGTCCCTAAACAGGCACTGGCATTAGGATCTTCCCAGTGTTGGAATTTACTAGCCTAACACTGAGTCCCAAGACACAGTCCTGTGGCTGCTTATTGTCTGTCCAGGGATGGAGGAGGGTGAAAAGGATACTGCAACTGGTTGCAGGGTGAATCACACCTCATTCTCACAGTCACTGGGTCCCTTGATTGAATGGAAGATCCCTCTCCCTCTCCCTCTCCCTCTACTTCTCCCTCTCCCTCTCTCTGTGTAATTCTGCCTTTCAAATAAATTTTTTAAAAATAAATCTTAAAAAAATATGTTTAATACTTTACTTTACTTCCACCAGAAATAACAAATGAAATGTTTGGGATACACAGCAGACTCAAAGAATGACAAATGCCCTAAACAGCACTCTGGCCTCAGTGTCAGCCCTTAAAGCATTCAGATTTTCTAAAAAGCCCATGAGAGTTTCTCAGGCATGGAGAGCCAGGACACTGTGGCAAAAAATGACCTAAATGAAAGATCTCTGTGAGTGAGATCCCAGTGGAAAAACGGGCCATCAAAGAAGGAAGTACCTTTCTCTGAAGGGAGGAGAGAACTTCTACTTTGATTATAGCCTTGTCTAAATAAGGTCGGAGTTTGTGAACTCAAGAGGCTTCCATAGCCTTGGCAGCTTATGACAAGAGCCTCGGGTGATTATGGATGTCATAAATAAGAGTGTCAATTGTTAAATCAACAATAGGAGTCACTGTGCACTTGCTCTCCATGCAGGAACTCTGTGCTTAATGTGTTATACTATGAGAATTAATGGTAAAACTAGTCTTCAAAAAGTACTTTATACTTTGTGTATCTATGTAGGTGCAAGCTGTTGATATCTTTACTTAGTATAAAGTTGATCTTCTGTATACAAAGATAATTAAAAATGAATCTTAATGAAGAATGGGATGGGAGAGGGACTACGAGAAGGGATGGTTTGTGGGTGGGAGGGTAGTTATTAGAGGAAGAACCACTATAATCCAAAAGTTGTACTTTTTAAATTTATATTTATTAAATAAGTTTTCTATAAAAAATGAAAATGTAGCTTTTAAAACAAGGCTCTTCATTAGGTATAAAGGGAAGTCTCTTTCTATTAATATTTACTCATCTGGGAATCTTTAGGAAAGAGACCAAAAGATTATCTTAAGCATATAAATAATGTTCATTTCTTTTTTCATCTTACTAAAAATATATTTGTCTGTAAAAAAAAAAAATTGTAGAGGCCGGCACTGTGGTATAGCATGTAAAGCATCCCATTTGGGTGCTGGTTCAAGTCCCGGCTGTTCCATTTCCAATCCAGCTCTCTGCTATGGCCTGGGAAAGCAGTAGAAGATGGCTCAAATCCTTGGGCTCCTGCACCTGTGTGGCAGACCCGGAAGAAGTTCCTGGCTCCTGGCTTAGAATTGGTACAGCTCCGGCCATTTCAGCCAACTGGGGAGTGAACCAGCAGATGGAAGACCTCTCTCTCTTTGCCTCTCCTTCTCTCTGTGTGTAACTCTGACTTTCAGATAAATAAATAAATCTTTAAAAAGAAAAAAGGATTGTGAGCAAAACAAAAATACCTAAATTGTTGTGATGGTTGCACAACTCTATAAATTTAATACAAATCAGTGAATGTGTGAATTTTATGTATGTAAATTGTACCTTTGTAATTCTATTTCAAAAAACATTCTAAAACACAGGTGAGCCAAACTGATATTTCATTCAAGCAAGTTCCCTACAAAAATTCAAATAGCAAATCACCCATCAATTCCATCAATAGAGTTAATTACCTTTTTACCTCATTATCATTAGTATTAACAGCACATTTATACAGCATTTTTCAGTTTGTAAAAACAAGATGACAACTCTGTGAGATAAACAGTTTAGCTATTATTATCTTGAAAGAGCAAAATTTAAAAGCTGGCCATTGACTTGTCTAAGAGCCACAGGAATATTAAATATCTATCCAAAAGCAAGCCCATTTATATTGAACATAATTCTCAACCTAACTGTTCTTCCCTTCAAATTATTTTAAAATGCATTTCCTACCTACCATCATATTCAAGAAGACTTTGTTCCTTGGAGACAGTACTCAAAGAGTCATCTAACTTCACCATTCCACTTTCTGTAAAATACAGAGTTCAGATTACATATTCTGTTGATTGTTACACAAAAGGTATATTCACATTTTTCCCAAGAAATCTTTTATTTAATGAGTACAAATTTTGTAAGTACAACTTTAGGAATATAATGTTTGTTCCCACCATACCTGCCCTCCCACCCCTCCTCCTCTTTCTCTCCCATTCCCAGTCCCATTCTCCATTAATGAGTTGCTTTATTAATTTTGTTGATATTGTACAAGTACATCTTTAATCTTTCATGTGATTTGGGTACTTTCATTATCTTTTGCCTGTTTCCATCTCACACACCCAGCTATTTGTTCACTTGATGAAGAATAATTTTTAAGCCTTTGAGATAAGGAAATCAGCAGCATTTAAAATGATTTACTACATGTTAGTGATAGTCAATGCAATGTTAATAACAATAATATACTAGTAGCATACGTTCATTAGCTGTTTATCCTGGTATAAATCACTTTACTCATGAGTATTAGCTCATGACATTCCTACAACACTGTAGGGTTTGGCTATGATTCTTCTTGTTTTGCAGATGATGGAAGTTAGGTTGAGAGAAGATAAATCACTTTTCCATCGTCACCTAAACTGGTTAAGTAGTAGAACAGGTTGTATACTCAGAATGGATCCAGAAAGGGCATCCTTAGCCATTAGGTACTACTTAATGATTTTAACCTGGGGTCTTTCCCAGATCTCCTATCATGTGCAGCTTTGGCAAGAACACTTGCTCTCCAGGCTTTGTCTAGTCCTATTTTGGTGGGTGTTTGCTGTGGTCCAATTAGTGCCTAAAGTAAGGGGCAACTGTCTCTGAACTCATTTCAGTTCTGATATGAATCAATGATATGCAAATAGTTGTACCAGAAGTAAAAGCAACAGCTTTCACATTTGCCCTATTTCAAAGTCAGATGCTTTAATGAATGTTTTTAAGCATACATTTCCCAGGGATATCAACTGGAACTCAGAATGTAATTGCTCTTGAAAATGTTATTGAATAAATTCTGATTCCTTAGCTCTGAGTTTCCAAATGAAGAATCTGGGGAAATTGTGGCTAAGTGTGGAAGGGAAACCCTTGAAAGATTCCATAAATTTATATTCTTAGATTCGGTCAAGATGACCTTCTATCTATGGAGGCATGGAAGAGCATAACAGTTAAGAGCATGGGTTGTAGAACCAGACAGATGTAGAGACTGCTCATGCAATCCAAGGCATGTTACCAGCCGTTCTCAATCTTTTTTAATTTTTTTGTAAAATATGGATAACAAATAGTGCCTACTACCTACCAGAATTGCCATGGCAGTACCTAGCAGGGCAGCACTCAGCTGAGATCCATGCCTCACATCATATGGACTCTGAATGTATTGGTGGCTACCCCTGAAATGAATCTTTAGTGTGTAAGGCATGGCAACAACAGGGCTCCAAAGTTTCTTATGCCCTGAGATAAACACAGAGTCTGTGACTGTGTGGAGGGAAGGAAGTGGCATATTCTGCGGAAGGCAGAGACTTCATTTTGTAGTGCCTACCGCAGCCATATTTTTACAGCTTGCTTGGGATGCTAAGTGGGATCCATGGAAGGGGAAGTTGAATCAGCCCAGACTCTGTAAAGGCCTCTCTTGATGGACTACTCAGAATGTGTGACTTGGAGGGCAAGGTCAATGTGGTGACCCCAACTGTTCCCTGGGACAGAAACAATGGGTGGTGTTAGGATCCAAACATAGATGGTATGGATGTCATTTAGGGAAACCAGTTCTGGAGGCTGTCAGGAACAGGAAGGTCCCTTGAGGTGAGCTCAGAGGCAGCCCCTGGATGTCAGCCTTCTTAGTATATTCACATTTTAATACAACTCTTAAAAAATTTATTTGACCCATAATTTCATCATCTTATTTCTTCTGTCTCCTAAGATGAGCCTTTCTAAATTATATCTGTTCATTTCAACAATTAATGAGAACATTTTAGTGCAAATAACTATGTGAGGGATGAAAAACACAAAAATAAGTGAAATATAGCCCTTGTTTTTTCAGTATCTATTACATGCAAAGAACTGAACTAGGTACTAAGTTCCTGATTGAAATAGGGAAAACTAAGATGTCCTGATGAACCAGGAGAAAGGAAATCTTTCACAGCATCATGAAAATCTATTCTATTTGTTATCTGTTAAGACACTTTGGCATTAATAACTAGCCCTGACAAACTCAATTATCCCCATTGCTACCCTTCATATCCAGGTGGTCCAATAAACCTTACCATTTCTGATGACCATACCATTTCTGACCATACCATTTCTGACAAGCATCAAAAAAGCTCAATAATTAAAGTATCACTCATTCCATAAATATAAAAGGGAACTTCAAAATGCTTGTAAGAAAGTGAATTAAAGATGTTTATTTTGGGGCAAATAAAATTTGAAATATATGCACAGTTTTTTCATAATACACCCTGAATTATTCAACAAGGTCTTAGAAAATGCTTATTCTGATAAAACTGTATATGAACTTCAAATTTTTGCACCAAAATAAGCTTACCTTTTAATTCTAATTTGGCCATGAATATTTTGAAATCCTCTTATATTTTATTTAATTAAATCTCCTTTCCTATTTATTTTAGCCAAGAAATTGCTGCCAGATTCTCAAAATTCATCTCTGATATTATACCTAAGTCAGTGTTTGCATAAAATGTCGCCTCTTTCCTCTCTTTAACTGAAATGTTGTAGAAATGTCTTAGTTACTAATAAATTCTTTAATACAAAAACCATCCCTAGAAACTTAAACTCTATCTTGAACTTAGGCTGGTGGTTGAGATATGCTATTTAACATCTAGAGGCCAACAGATTGCTTTGATTATCACTAGCTCTAAATTCTCTCCACATTTTGGACCCTCCAATTATTTCTTCTTGAATCCCTAGGATGTTTGCTTATAGATTCTTGTACCATTGGATATTGTGGTCTTACTGCCTGAACCTATCTACAACTTCTCCTACTACCCATCCATCCTACCCTAGAAGACATAGCCACAAGTAGTGATGAAGAGTCCAAATGGCACAATCCTGAGATATGAAAAGCATAGCCCCGGGGCCAGAGCTGTGATGTAGCAGTTAAAGCCACCACCTGCAGTGCCGGCATCCCATATGGGCACCAGTTAGAGTCCTGGCTGCCCCACTTCTGATCCAGCTCTCTGCTATGGCCTGGGAAAGCAGTAGACAATGGCCCAAGGCCTTGGGCACCTGTACCTGCGTAGGAGACCAGAAGAAACTCCTGGCTCCTGGCTTCAGATCGGCACAGCTCTGGCCGTTGCAGCCATCTGGGGAGTGAACCAGCAGATGGAAGACCTCTCTCTCTCTGTGCCTCTGCATCTGACTCTGCCTCTGCCTCTCTGTAACTCTGACTTTCAAGTAAACAAATAAAATCTTCAAAAAAAAAAAAAAAGAAAGAAAAAGAAAGAAAGAAAGAAAGAAAGAAAGAAAGAAAGAAAGAAAGAAAGAAAGAAAGAAAGAAAGAAAGAAAGAAAAGCATAGCCCTGCTAAACCAATCCTCTAGGTCAGAGTTTCTATATGTTTCCTTCAGCTACTTTCCATTTTTATATCTGCTCTTTCTGAATATTCTCTAGAATGGGTCATTTTCTGTCCCACTCCTAATTAAGAAAAATTTCTCTAATATTTAATACTATCCCATAAAAATATCTAATTTTCTCAAAAAAGAGTTGTTATTATCAGTCTCTCACCATCTCTAGTTTTTGCCAGATTCTTCTGGAACTCTTCATCTAATGTAGGAATTCCTGTTGAAGGCAAAGTGGACTGAAGTTCTTCTGCAGCAATGTAATCTCGGAATTCACTGATAGCTTCACAGACATTTTCTAAAACTCAAAATATAGAGGGAATTACTAAGTAACAGAATTTATGCTTCTAAAGCAAAGATTGGCACCTAAAATCTTTATCTAGTAACCAGAGAACAAGTTTAATCTAGTAAATATTACCTTATAGAAAAACTACTTTTCTTTCTTTATTCCTATTCTATCTTACATTATATTTTATCTTTCTCTTACAGCTCAAACCCAAAACTGTCTTGAAATACTATAAATGTTTATAAACCATTTGTTTGGAAGAACAGCCTGTTGCAGCAACTGAGTCAATATTTCTTGCTTATCATTAAAATATAAAGAAGTCCAAGACATCAAATATATTGTTTAACTCCAGAACTCTAAACAAAAATTAAAAGTTCTCCCCTTTCCCATAAATTTATTGCACCATGTTTTTAGTTTACAAACTTCAAAAAATAATATCCATAAGGAGATACACATGGACATAACTAGCCTCCTGTTATGAGATGAGCATAATAATTATTTCTCTGGTATTCTGGCCAAAATGCATAGCTGCAATTTATTTACAAAAAAGTATAAAGGGAGGCTGGCATTTTAGCACAGTAGGTAAAGCCACCACCTGTAATGCTGGCATCCCATATTAGCGCTGGTTCGTGTCCTGGCAGCTCCTCCTCTGATCCAGCTCTCTGCTTATGTCCTGAGAAAGCAGTGGAAGATGGCCTAACTGCTTGAGCGCCTGCACCCATAAGGGAGACCCGGAAGAAGCTATTTGCTCCTGGCTTCGGATCAGCCCAACTCCAGCCATTGCAGCCATTTGGGGAGAAAAGCAGCGGATGGAAGACCTTTCTCTCTGTCTCTGCTTCTCTCTGTCTGTAACTCTGCCTCATAAATAAATAAATAACATGATTAATTTTATATTTTATAATAGGTATCATGCTAAGGATTAAAGGAGGCCAAGTTTAGAAACAAGGAGACATTTTGGAAACATGTAGTAATCTTGGCTAAAAATGATATGTTGCACTAAGGCACTGACTCTTGGGATGTAAAGAAGGGGGCACGTATGAGATTGAAGAGGTCAAACCTCATCATTGTTTGATTAAGTCAGCAAAGGAAGAGAATAGCTCAGCTCTGCCATTGCAGCTATTTGGGAAGTGAACCAGTGGATAGAAAACCTTTCCTTCTGTCTCTCCCTCTGTCTGTCTGTAACTTTACCTCGCAGATAAATAAATAAATAATTTTAAAAAATAAATAAATAAATCATATATATATATATATATATATGGAAAATCTAAAATGAGGGATGAGGGATATTATACAAAATAATTAGTCAATATTCTTCAAATATGCCAAGGTTATGAAACATTAAGGAAGCATCCAGATTGGAGAGGATTAAGAATACATGATAACTAAATATAATGTGTAACCCTGGATCAGACATCCTGGACCAGAAAAGGGATATTCATAGAATAACTGACAAAATTTGAATATATATCTACAGATTAGTAAATAGTCTTATATAATTGTATTGTATTAATTCCCTGGTTTAAACCATTGTATTGTGGTTATATTAGATCCTAATACTTGGGAAAACTAAATAAAAATATATAGGAAAATGTCTTTAGTATGTGTACAACTCTCATGAATATAAAATCACTTTAAATGAAAAATTAGAAAAAAATTAATTTAAATTATTAAAACAGTTATATTTCAAAGATTCCAAATTATTGTCCATCTATTTGGGAAATTTATACCCAATAAATTATTTAATACTTTTCTATGTAGAGAAGATTAATTATAGCAGTGGTAAGTGACATCATTGGACTTTAGTGACACCTCTTCTGCCTACTAGCCAAATATCTACTGTTGCATTATTCCTTTATCCTAAGGCTCTAATTTTAATTGAAATACAAAGAACACTCAGGAAAAAAAATGAGGCACAGAATAACAGCAGTGCATTGGTAAAGAAAACAGAATGAACATACCTGTGCCTCCTTAATAGAGAATCTCTTTTTTAACTGAGTAACTTGAATTATGTATTAGAATGATTAAAGTTTTCAGTAAGCATTCATTTAAACCATCACATTCACTATTAAATGCCAATTTTTAAAAGGCCAGTAAGCTTCTTCAAATAAAATAAACATGATTTAATTAACGTAAGCAAAGGGCATAGGAAGGAATATTTAGCTAGATTTCATACACAGCACTTCTGTTATGGAAGTAACACAAGATGGATAGAACATTATATTAGTTGGAAAACCATTGCTCATCTTTGAAGACCATAAAGTCTTAGAGGTCTGAAATGTACCAAATTAATTATTTTCTCTTGATATTCTCCATAAGAGATAATACTTGAAGTACGATTATGTGTTTAAATAATGGAACTGTATGAAAAAAAAATGACACACACTTCCTACCTATCTGTTTAAATTTTTAAAATTTTTCTACCTGTATAAATTTTTATGAAATAAAAATTTCTTGAGGAAAACAGGTCCTCTACTTTCTAGGGAACTTGAATGACTCCAATTAATCACTGAACAAGTTTCTTAAAGTTAGGCTCCCTTAAAAGAGACACCTGGAAAGCAACTGCCATCAAAACCACAGCATTACATACATTAGCCATGTATCAGAAGTGGTAATTCCCCTGATATTAATCATTGAAGAGCTCACATTTAATAACTGATTCACTCTGCTTATTTCTGTGATAACTGATGAACTCAAGGACCTATAATCTGAACCTGACGTAGGTACTGACCTGGAGTATTAACTGCAGCTTTGTCTTTAGAAGAAACTTGTTTTAGGAGGTTGAGATGCTTTCTGAGAGCTGGATTCTGAAGCTTGGGAATACTAGAAATATCACTTTTACCCAGGGACTTATTGAGGCTTGTAATACTCTTCAAGCTTTGTGGTGTAACTTTTGAGTCAGGAAATTCAGCCTTCTCTGAATGCTTTTGTAAGTTTATAACATTTAATGGATATGGTTCCTGGAATCCTGTGTTACTGCTATCAATTCCACCCAGGAATTTTTTTCCTTGCCATATATTTTTTGCTCTTTTAAATTCAAAGCCATCATTTTCCCCCATTAATTTACTATGATGCTGGAGGGGGGTTTTATTCAACTTTTTGGATCCTGAAGATTCAGACAGTTTGGAAGGTAGACTTCTTTTCCTCTTATGTTTTAAATAGCGTTCTGCTACACTTGGTAACTTTCTTTTTGAAGCAGTTTCATCCAAGGTTGACCCATCCATAATTGCTAGGTAAGAGAAACATATTTAATTATTTCATTTATCTTTATAATTTGCAATATAGTTCAAAAATTTCAGGTAATAATATCATTAAAGCCATTCAGGAAATTTCCATTTGCTTAAACATATAAAAGAGTTTAGCAAGTTAAACTAATAAACAGAGCTGATGATCAAAACACTAAACTACTAACTCGCTAAATATAGCCTTTTTTTTTTTTTTAACAGGCAGAGTGGACAGTGAGAGAGAGACAGAGAGAAAGGTCTTCCTTTGCCGTTGGTTCACCCTCCAATGGCCGCCGCACCGGCGCGCTGCAGCTGGCGCACCGCGCTGATCCGATGGCAGGAGCCAGGAGCCAGGTACTTCTCCTGGTCTCCCATGGGGTGCAGGGCCCAAGCACCTGGGCCATCCTCCACTGCACTCCCGGGCCACAGCAGAGAGCTGGCCTGGAAGAGGGGCAACCGGGACAGAATCCGGCGCCCCGACCGGGACTAGAACCCAGTGTGCCGGCGCCGCTAGGCGCAGGATTAGCCTAGTGAGCCGTGGCGCCAGCCCGCCTGTTGTTTTAATATATTTAAATATGTCCATTGGAAGCCATTTAAAGACACACTGGAAAAAAGTAGTAGCCTACTGAAGCACATAGTTGCCATTTATGCCCAATTTAGAAAGATAACAGATAACAAGCTAATACAGATAAAAATCCCGTAGTTATATCAGTGCACAACTATGAGAAAGTTGCAGGGGAGAAATTTTTATTTATAAAAAACATTACAAGTAATTACTCTCCAAAGTATTTTTAGCCTTCATAAACAGAGGGCAAGAATATGCATAAAATAACATATTTGGAAAAATATTAATTCAATATCCTAACTGGGAAATTCATTTATAAAACAAATGTTAATGGATCTAAAGGAAGACATAAACTCCAATATAATAATAATGCAAGACTTCAACATCCCATTTTCATTAATGGAGAGATAATCCAGACCAAAAAAATCAACAACAACAACAAAAAAGACATAATCTGCACTATAAAACAAATGGATCTACTAGACATCTACAGAACATTCCATCCCACAGCTGAAGAATACAGAATTAAGCTGTATATTAACAACAACAAAAAATCTAGAAAATATACAAACATATGGAGACTGAACAATATGCTCCTAAAAGAGCAGTGGGTCATACAAGAAATAAAACAGAAATTAAAAATGCCTTGAAATGAATGAAAATTAAAGCACAGCATATCAAAACTTACAGGATACAGCAAAACTAGTGTCAAGAGGAAAGTTTAGGGGCTGGCATTTTGGCACAGTGGGTAAAGCTGCCGCCTACAAGCCAGCATGCCATATGGGTGCCAGTTCATGTCCAAGCTGCTCCACTCCCAATCCAGCTTCCTGCTAATGGTCTGGGAAAAGCAGCAGCAGATGATCCAAGTGCTTGAGCCCCCATCACCCATGTAAGAGACCTAGATGAATCTTCTGGCCCCTGGCTTCAGCCTGGCTGTACCCTGGCCTTTGCAGCCTCTTAGGAAGTTTACCAGCAGATGGAAGGTATCTGTCTCTGTCTCCTCCCTTCTCTCTGTAACTCTAACTTTCAAATAAATCAATCAATCTTAAAAAAATAGAAGGGGAAGTTTATAACAATAAGTGCCTACATCAAGAAATTGGAATGATCTAACAATGCTCAAAATGTCCTAGGGAAAAAAAGAACAAACCAAACCCCAAATTTATAGAAGGAAAGGAATAATAAAAGAGAATAAATAAATAAAAATTTTAAAACATACAAATATATAGTGAAATGACAAGCTATTTTTTTTTTTAAATAAGCAAAATTGGGGACAGCGTTGTGGCAGAGCGGGTTAATGCCCTGGCCTGAAGCTCCGGCATCCCATATGGGTGCCAGTTCTAGTCCCAGTTTTTCCTCTTCCAGTCCAGCTCTCTGCTATGGCCTGGGAAAGCAGTAGAAGATGGCCCAGTTCCTTGGGCCCCTGCACCCACATGGGAGACCTGGAGGAAGCTCCTGGCTCCTGGCTTCAGATCGGCGCAGCTCCAGCCATTGCGGCCATCTGGGGAGTGAACCAGTGGATAGAAGACCTCTCTCTCTGTCTCTGCTTCTCTCTGTAACTCTATTAAATAAATAAAATAAATCTTAAAAAAAAAAGAAAAAATAAACACAATTGATAAACTATTGGCCCAACCAACCAAAAGAGTAGGGAGAAGACCCAAATTTTAAAAATCAGAGATGAAAAAGGAGATGCTACAGCTGATACCACAGAAACACAAAGAACAATTAGGAACTACTACAAATAGCTATATGCCAACAAATTGGGAAATCTAGAAGTAATGGATAGATTTCTGGGCACATATAATTTATCAAAATTGAGGCACAAAGACATAGGAAACCTGAATAGACCAAAAACCAGCACTGAGATGAATCAGTAATAAAGAGCATCCCAACAAAGAAAGGCCCAGGACCAGATGGCTTCACTTCTGAATTATACCAAACATTTAAGGAACACTTAATACCAATGCTTCTTATATAATTAAAAACTATTTAAATGGAGGGAACCATTCCAAACTCATTCAATGAGGTCAGCATTACCTCAATTCCAAAACCAGAAAATTATACAACAAAAAAGAGAACTATAGGCCTATATCGCAGATGAACATAGATGCAAAAATTCTCAATAAAATACTAGCAAATTAAATCCAATAATACATCGAATTATTATTGACATTGACCAAGTAGTATTTATTCCAGCGGTGGATGCAGGGCTGGTTCAACATATGTAAATCAATGTAAATCAATAAATGTTTTAGCCTCAACAAAATGGAGGTTAAAAGCCATATGATTAGCTCAATAGATGAACAGAAAGCATCTGATAAAATATAACATCTTTTCATGACAAAAATCTTTTAAGATGGGTATAGAAGTCACATACCTCAACATAATATAGGCAATATATGACAAACTCACAGCCAGCACTGTACTGAACAGAGAAAAGTTGAAAGCATTTCCACTAAGATCCAGAACCAGACAGGATGCCCACTCTCACTATTATTCAATGTAGTTCTAGAAGTTTAGAGTAATTAGGCAAGAAAAAGAAATCAAAGGAATACAACTGGAATGGAATAAGTCAAATTATTCCTATTTGCAAATGATATTATCCTTTACACAGGGGAACCAAAAGACTCCACTAAGAGATTATTAGAACTCATAAGAGAATTCAGCAAAGTTGCAGGATATAGAATCAACACATAAAACTCAATAGCATTCCTAAACACCAACAACTTCTGGCTGAGAAAGAATTTATAAGATCAGTCCTATCACAATAGCTACCAAAAACACTTAAATATCCAGGAATAAATTTAACCAAGGATGTAAAAAAATCTCTACAATTGATAGATATATTTATTTGAAAGGCAGAGTGACAGAGAATGAGAAGAATCTTCTATCTGCTAGTTCACTCCCCAAAGGGCCACAGCAGCCAGGTCTGGCCCAGGCAGAAGCCAGGAGCCAGGAACTCCATCTTGGTCTCCCACATGAGTGGCAGAGCCACAAGTACTTGAGCCATTTTCTGCTGCCTTCTTAGGCATATTAGCAGGAAGTTGGATCAGAAGCAGAGTAGGTGGGACTCAAACTCCAATATGGGATGATATCATTATAAGTGACAGTTTAACCACTGTGCAATAATACCAGCTGCTAAGGAAAATATCTTGAAAACAACCAGAAAAAAAAAAACACATCCTATGATATGAATACTATCAGATATCTCATCAGGAATAATGGAGGTCAGAAGTAAATGGAACAGGGCCGGCGCCGCGGCTCACTAGGCTAATCCTCTGCCTAGCGGCGCCGGCACACCAGGCTCTAGTCCCGGTCGGGGCGCCGGATTCTGTCCCGGTTGCCCCTCTTCCAGGCCAGCCCTCTGCTGTGGCCAGGGAGTGCAGTGGAGGATGGCCCAGGTGCTTGGGCCCTGCACCCCATGGGGAGACCAGGAAAAGCACCTGGCTCCTGGCTCCTGCCATCGGATCAGCGCGGTGCGCCGGCCGCAGCGCGCCGGCCGCGGCGGCCATTGGAGGGTGAACCAACGGCAAAAGGAAGATCTTTCTCTCTGTCTCTCTCTCTCTCTCACTATCCACTCTGCCTGTCAAAAAATAAAGAAAGAAAGAAAGAAAGAAAGAAAGAAAGAAAGAAAGAAAGAAAGAAAGAAAGAAAGAAAGAAAGAAAGAAAGAAAGAAGTA